CCAGGGAAGAGGAGGGAGAAGACTGGGTTTTGGAATGACCTCCTTGGCTGAGCCCAAGTGTTAGGAGCAGGTGGAATCTGAGCTGCTTAGGTGTGGCCTAAAGTCTTCTGTGCCGGACACAACCTGTGTGGATTCTATGTTAAAGTGAAGGGTAGGAATGAATGTACACATATTTGAAAATGAATACTTATCTTTATGCCTGAGATGTTACATCCATGTACTGGCATGATTACAGGAAAGGGGGGGAATGCTGAGAGAAGCATCTTGGAATGTTTCTAGACTTAATATTTTCCCTATGATAGTGAGGTTTGAGCTTCTCCTTCCAGAAACATATCCTTTGGATCTGTACAGAAGATCCTGATATCCTTCCAGAAGAATTTGGACCACATTTGGTTGGCCATTCCAAGCTCCAACGTGGTGAGGGGTTATATGTCTGTTTTGCCAAAGTAGAGGGCAGGATTTGACCATACAAGGCTTCTAATGTTCCAGATGGCAAGTGCTCATTTGCTCTCCAATGGGTGGTTCCGGGGGTTTTTTTTTGCTGTTGATGGAGCAGTTCTTTATATTGAGTGACGTGGTGGCTACACAGATCTGTGCACATGACAGGTCTTATTTTTATGCACAAAGATATATTCAACAAAGGAAAGTAAATGGATGTCTCCCCAAGCTGGTGAAACCCCAGTAATGACTGAGATATGATACATTGTACTGTGAAAGTGTCAGCTTTCAAGTGTTGATAGCATATATAGGTCAGCTATTGCGGGGGGGGGGGGCCTGGAAGATGGGCATTTCCACTGTACTTTTTTTATGTCTTATCATGAGTCTTGCAAATAAATGTTAACAGCCACAGAAACCAAATCAGTGACTCATGGTGAGCTGCTGCAACTGTGTGTTGCTGCCAGACTTCAGCACCTCTTCCATTGGCAGACCAAGTCCTTGTCTTCACCTGAGCATCATTATTCTACTCTCAGAAATGGGTCCTTTGTGCAGTCTGTCAGCCACGCCCTTCCTACCAGTTCTGCAGAGCTACTGAGTTGGTTAGACAAGAGCAAGAACACTCCTCCCCAAATACACAAACACATACACCTTTTAATGCCCAAACCTATATATTTATTCCTGCCTTGGATTTTTCTATATAACACACAGTTTCTCTGAATTTCCAGGGTCAGAAGCAGAAACAAGAAATCTGATATACAGGGCAGGAGAATTACCTGAGTAATAGCATGTGGACTTGAATCCATATCCCCAGGAGCCTAGTAACCCACCGCCTGTGGATTAGTCTGGTGACCTACTTGATGGCTTGTAACCCCTGGTTCTCCCTGGATGTGTATGTTCTGATTTTGTTCTTATTGGTAGTGGCAGCTCTGTGTTTTATTTTGTAATGAAGGCAGAGAGCCCAAAAGACAGTCTACCAACTGTCAGTTAAATTCCTAGAAGAACGTATGGCCGTGCCATCATTTTCTTTGGCATACTGCTTTGGGATCACCATCTGAGAATGTTCTTTCTGTTTTATGGGGGAAATATGTACATATATTTTCATATTACATAGCTGGCATATTCCTTGGGGTTTCCATTGAGGACTTGGCAGAGGGGAACAATTTTCTCATCTCCTTAACCACAGTTTAGTGAATGTCTGACTCTCTTCCTGTGATACATTTACCTTTCTGTACAGATTTGTGTATGGCCAGAGGGTGTCCTGCCCTGATTGAAGTACAGTGGGATCCAGAGGAGATGGGATGGAGTGCTGGGGAAGGACACTTTATTTGCTTGTTGTACTAAATGTCAGATTGAGTAATCAAGTATTTTTGAAGCATACCGACATCTGTGGGGAATAAGTAAGTTATTCACAGCTTTTATATTCTGTAGGTTTTTTTTTTTTTTAAAGAAGGATATTCAAACACACTATGAAGTTTGCTTTTCATTTGCGGGCCCAGACTACTTCGGTATGATCTTGTTCAGATGCCATAATGGCTCATGGTAACCTTTTATTTCCTGCTTTTATGGAATTGGGGGAGGTGTTGGCCCTCGTTTGCCAACTATGACTCCCTGGCTTTGGACATTCTGCCACACGACCCTCCCTGTGTAGACATTTCCCGTTTGCTGGATCAAGTGGATGCCTTTCTTCTTCTAAAATCAATATTTGAGCATTTGCTCCTACCACCCCTAGATCAGGAATTTGCACCTTCGGTGACCAGCCTTGCCATTACCACAGAAATGATAGAAAAACTGGTAGAAATCATTTATTCACGACACTCTACAACTAGACAGGACTTGGGTCCTTCAGGATCTAATGCCAGCGGTCTAGACTCGTCTTGGTATCTCTCGTGCTATTTTTCCACCCAAACCCCACTTTTTTGCCATGTGGCACGAGGGAAGGATTTGTCACAGTAGATATCTTGCCCCATCCTGGCTAAATTTATTAAATATTATCTTGTCTCTAGGAGGCTAGGCACTTAGCACATATCCTCACCACTTTCCTATGGAAAAGGAAACTAAAGCCAGGAACCAGTGGCTCACACCTGTCATCCTAGCTACTCAGGAGGCTGAGATCTGAGGATCTAGGTTCAAAAAAGACCCCATGAGATTCTTATCTAAAATTAACCACTCAGAAACCAGAAGCTGTGCTGTGGCACAAAGTGATAGAGTGCTAGCCTTAAGCAACAAGAACTCAGGGACAGTGCCCAGGTCCTGAGTTCAAGCCCCACAACTGACCCCCCCCAAAAAAAGGAAACTGAGGCTCAGAACTGTTAAAATAGTCCAAAGTCAGGGTGCTTCCCAGTAGCTTTGTGCGATGTCTGTTGTTTAAAACCTTAGCACTTGTTGATAGTCCAGGACATAGGCAGCCAAGATACAGAGGCTGCACAGACCCTAAGCATCTCTGCACAGCCTGTATCCATCCCTAAGGAAGGCAGCTAGGGTGAAGGATGTCTCAGCAGTGCAGTTTGCATCCTCTTTCACAGCATTAGAATATCATGTTATTCTCCTTAGTCTTATTTAAGCTTCACAGTCTAGACTAGAATTCCCAAGTTTACCATTTGTTTTATGAGGCTCTTCTTACCTGAATGAGTAGGTAGCCTAGGCTTTCTAGGCCTTATGTCTGTGAGAAGAGTGAAGCCTAAGAAATCAGAGTATTTAATGTCAGACTTTGAAGTCCATCTAGACTTAAGAGTTGGGAAGTTCCACAAGGATTGTGTCCAGTGTCCAATAGAACATAATTGTGTCAGATCCTGACCTCCCCAGTCCTGGATTTTTACAAGGAGAGTATTTGGTCTCTGGAGTTATTCTGAGGTTTGGGGATCAAACCTTGCCTCCCTTTTTTTGGTCTGTGATCTCTTATAAAACACCACCCTGTCCAAATGGGGAAAATATTATCTGTGGTTCAGTTGCACTGAGCATTAAATGTGATGGTTTGTGCAAGTGCCCAGACCACAGTAGGGCTTAATAGATAGTAGCCATCATTAACATTAACTACTTCCTCCTCCTCTTCCTCCTCCTCCTTCTCCTCTTCCTCCTGCTCTTCCTCCTCCTCCTTCTCCTCTTCCTCCTGCTCCTCCTCCTCCTTCTTAGCTCTTCTTCTTCTTCTTCTTCTCCTTCTCCTTCTCCTTCTTCTCCTCCTCCTCCTCCTCCCCCCCTCCTCCTCCTCCCCCCTCTTCCTCCTCCCCCCACCCCTCCTCCTCCTCCTACTTGTTCTTCTTCCAACAAGTACCCTACTCTTTTTTTTTTTATTGTGAAAATACCGTACAGAAGGGTTACAATTACATGGACAAGGTAATGAGTACATTTCTTATCAAGCATTGTTGCCTCCTCCTTTGTTTCCCCTTACCATCCCTTCCCTTCCCCACCATGCCAAAGTTGTAAAGTTCATTTTTCGACATAACATCTTGTACATCTCACTGTTGCAATGGGTCCACCTGTATCCCTATCTAAACAATTTTTTCCCCTTCCCCTACACAAATTATACCAACATCAAATACAGTGAAAACAGGGGTTATACCATGGGGGAGGGACATAAAAAGCAACAAAGAAATCATCTTATAAATATATTAGAAACAATCGCAAGAAAGAAAAACCATTTGAGTCCTTATCTTGGGGTTCATTTCGCCTAACATCAACTTATCTGACCATTTCTGCTTGTCTTAGACATATATTAGTATTTGCAAATAAGGGAAAGCATGGGACCTATGTTTGTTTGGGCCTGGCTTACTTCACTTCATATAATTTTTTCCAAGTCTTTCCATTTGCTAACAAATGGGGCAATGTCATTCTTTCTGATGGAGGCATAGAATTCCATTGTGTGTATATACCACATTTTCTTGATCCATTCATCTACTGAGGGGCATCTGGGTTGGTTCCATATCTTAGCTATGGTAGATAATGCTTCAGTAAACTTAATTGTAGCTTTAGTATGATAGCTTTCGTATGGTTTTGTTTGTGATCACTTGGGTAAATGCCCAAAAGTGAGATTGCTGGGTCATAGGGGAGCTCTAGTACCCTACTCTTATTCTGGGCATTTTCCTTCATCGTTCAGCCAGTATTTGGTAGGGGAACTAGTTCACTTAGAGGTCTTGCCTACTTTTGCTTTTGTGTAGGTGAGTTTGGTTTTTGATTTAGGCTTAATGAAAACACTTCAGAACCTGGCGGGAAGCTTTGGGGTCTAAAATGTTGACCATGGCATTCTTGCCCTTATCAGGCTTGATCCTGGTGTCTCCCCATTGTGGCTTTTTACAATACAGATTGAAAAAGAACATGAGCTTGAAGTCCCCTTGGAGCCGCCCCCCCCTTGTAGAGTCTACAGAGCTCCAGCCTCACATGCTCCCTAAACTTGGCAGTGAGACCCCTGTTCTTCTATTCATTCCAGTGATTTATATTCTCTCTGGGCGTCTAATATTAAACAGGGGAATTCCGACATGTTCCATAACACATTTACTGTAACCTAATACCATGAACTGAACTTGCTGTTATTTATCATTTCTTTTGATTTCTTTTTTCTCTCTTTCCAGCACAAAGCCAAGGTAGAAGCAATGACCCTGGACCTGGCTCTGCTCCGTAGCGTGCAAAACTTTGCTGAAGCGTTCAAGGCCAAGAATGTGTGAGTGTTCCAGGGGAGGCTTCGCGATCATAATTCCTTGCTATTGTAATGTCTTTATCAGATGCTCACAACTGGGAGAATGCAAGGCTGTGGTTGTTGCCTTGGTGTCCAAACAGGAGGTTCATTTCTATTGGCCCTGAAAAGGAGAGTTATAAGTTCTTTGGCTCTAAGTCACCCTCATTATGAAACATGTCATCAATCTAATAGCATCCTCCCAGAAAAGAAAGGGAAAAGACACCATGAAAGGACTTGTAAAACTGGTTAATAAAAGCCAGGTAGTGACAAGATACATCTTGGCTGTAGACTGTTTTTCAGTGCATCTCAGAATGGAACAACAATATATTTTAATTGCGCCCAGGAAGCAGGTAGCTTCAGTCTTCCCATACTGGAGAGGGCTGACTGAACCCAGGCAGTAGAAGGATCTAGTGTTTTACAGTCCTTCACTGATATAATGTGGTACACAGATACACTTGCAAGCACAGACTAAGGTAGGAAGAAATGCTTTCTTTCTTTCTCTCTGTTTGTCTTTCAAAATGATTTGTTTGAAAGCCTTAGCTGAGGGCTTGCATATTTTCATTCCTTTACTTCCTTTTCCAACTGAGGGGGAGAGGACAAAGGGAGGAGAAAGAAGTGGGGAGAGAGAAGAACTGGAAAGAGGCTGAAAGGGACAGAGGACTAGACAGAGAGGTGGGGGGGGAGGGAGAGGGAAAGGAGGAGGAAGGAAAGATGGAGGGAGAAACTCAGACCTCAAGCTAAGAAAAGCAATCTTGGACGGCGACATTATAATTACAAAATTTTGTTTCCAAGTATTTATTTGTTCTGTAGCCTCATACATAGGGCAGAAAAAGAATTACTGGTTTCTCAGTTAGCAGAGTGTTTTAAGTTTCATTAATGAGTACTTTTTTCCAGTGAGATGGTTGAAATACAAGGATTAAGTTTACCACGGCTCAGGTGGTGCCAAGGGTGAGGGCTTGAGCAGTGCTGGGTTCTGGTGGTTCCGACACATTTCTTGCTGTCCTTGTTAGGCAGTGTTGGTGTGTTAGGTTTACTGTCCTCCAAGCAGAAGAGGAGTCATAGGATCATAAACCAAGAGCTGAAATAGGATGGCTTTGTCTCTAGTCCTGTGTCTCTACTGGTGTCTCCCTCTATTCTTTGGGCTGGGATTTGAACTCAGGGCTACCTATTCTCCCTTGGCTTTTTGCTTATGGCTGGCACTCTAACACTTGAGCCACCCCCCCCCCCACTTTCTTCTCCTTGCTGCGTATTTGGAGATAAAAGTCTTGAGGATTTGTCTGCTCAGGATGACTTTGAGCTTCAGCTTCCAAATCGCAGTCTCCTGAGTAGCCAGGATCACAGGCGTGAGCCACTTGTGCCTGGGTCCCTCTGTATTTATCTAGATGGTCACTGCATTTGATCTCTAAGGCTCTTTCTGGAGCCAACAAGTTATCTGAGTCAGGAGCTCTCAGGACTGAGAGTCTTTAGAGAATTTCTGCAAACTCAGGCCCTGCCCTAGCTCACGGAAACAGCCCGATCCCACATCCCAGCCAGCCAGTAGATGAGGGAGCCCCACTGTGTGCTTTTCCTGTGCTCTACCCCAGAGCTGCCCTCCCTGCCATCTCTGCCAGAGATACCAGAACTGAAGAGTGTTACAGCAGTGGCTCACAAGACATTTGTTCATTTAGTTCTACATTGCTTGTCTACTTGCTTGTTTATTTAACATCCATTTAGTGGGTGTACCCAAAGGCATTCTTCTGGGCTCTGGGAGGAGCCTAGGGCTATTAGGAGCCAAGTTAACCTCAGAGGAGCATCATCTCCATTGGAAACAAGCAGCTTCTTATTGCTGGTGGCCAAATCCTCAACCGAACATCTGTGGTTGTTTGAGAGGGGAAAATACAATGATTCCACCAGCAGAGGCCTCAGCTTGATTATTGGGGATACTATAGGAGACGCATACCTAGAATGTTCTACGTGCAGTTTGTGCTTTAGACCTCAGGGCAGTCCTAGGGTGGGTGTGAGTAGTTCTGTTGCATAGATGAGAAAACTGAGATGATAAAGGCAGGTGCTAAAGTAGAGGGCGGAGACCATGTGCACTTTCTCTTAACCAGCCTATCATGCTGCATTTCATTTTAAATGAGATGGAAACTGAGGTCCTGGGAGAAAGCCAGTGATTTCACAGGGCCACTTGGCAGTTGGGGGCAGATACAGGATTTTAGCCTTAATTCTCAGTTGGATGCCCTCACTTCCAGCTTCAGCCAGCTCTGGAAGAAAGCAGCTTTGCTAAGGAAAGGCAGTTCTTCCATGATGGCAGCATCTTCCCCATCCACACAAGACTGTTTCTTTTTAACCATTAACTACTTTGGAACTCATCAGATTGAACTGCCTTTTGTAACCACTGAACCCAGACTTGCTCCCTAACCCTAGATTTTAGCAGATGCCTTTGACTTTTTCGCCTGTTTGGTCCAGGAGCCAGGGCAGGTTGCTTTCAGAATCTCTGCAGCCCATTTTTATATCTGTCTCAGGAGAGTACAGGATTGCACATGGCGTAGAGAAATTCCATGGTGGCAAAAATATGCATAAAAAGCAAGAGATTTCACTTTTGAAATACAGTCAAGGTGAACTCTCCAAATGACAGTTTAGTACTTATGGAGTCTCTGGATTCTGAGAACTGTCAGAAGTGAATTTAAGTGCTGATGACCAGGCTGCTAGCAAACCATGTGATGCTCTCTCTTATCATCATCTCCCATTCTCAGGTATTAAAATTTTCCTGTGTATAAAACATAATGAGAAATGAAGGAAGGGCTGCCGGTTCAGGACCACTTTCTTTTTCGTGTTGTTGGCCTGAAGAAAGGGCAGGGCAGAGGGTGGGGACCAACAACCAAAAAACCTTTACATGTAAATTCCCTGTGGGTATCTCTGTTTAACATAGCATTTCAGAGCCTGCTCAGGATCAACTAAGGAATTACGGAACTACGTTTTCCGGTGCACAGCCCTTGTATGTCAACCCGCACTGTCATAGGTAGAGTAACATGCCTGTGCTTGTGGCTGTAAAAGCTAGAAACAGAAGCCAAGGCTAGAAACACTGTTGAAACATTTTTATGTTGCACTGGACATCTTATCTTTTGGGCAGGGGTGGGCTATTTTATTTTAGCATGGTCACTGTTAATAATGATTGTATAGAAATTAGCCCATTTTTGTTGTTGCATTATACATGCAACATTATATTGTTGCATTATATACATGCATTTTTCCTCCTCTTTGCTTTCTTCTAGTAACCCTAGACATTTGTCATGATCATTCCTATTTTCCAAGTGGAAAGTTTGAGCTACAGAGAGGCTGTTTCACTTTAACGAGTTCAGTAAGTGGCAGATCTAGAATTCAAACTCAATTCTGTCTGAATCCAGAATCTGTAATGCATTTTGTTGCTTCTCACTCTTTGTCAGCTATTTTTCACTATGGATTTCTGTACTCATTTATAGATTCCCACGTAACGAATCAGCCAAAAATTAAAAGACTTAAAGTCAACTTTAAAATAATAAACATTCATTTTCTCTTCTCCTTGTCTTTTCCTTTTCTCCCCTCTCATTTTCCTTTACCATTTCCCTCCCTCTCAATTATTTCCCCCCGGTTTCTCTTTTCTCTCCCCATTTGTTTAAATCAGGATTAAAATAAGACCAATGCATTTTAATCTAGAGTGGTCTATCTTTCTATTCTTAAAATCTTACCATTTCTGGGCACCGCCAATGGCTCATGCCCATAATCCTATCTACTCAGGAGGCTGAGATCTGAGGATTGCAGTTCAAAGCCAGACAGAACAGGAAAGTCCATGAAACTCTTATCTCCAATTAACACCAGAAAACTGGAAGTAGCACTGTGGCTCAAGTGGTAGAGCTCTTACCTTGAGCTGAAGAGCTGAGGGACAGACAGGGCCCAGGTCCAGAGTTCAAGACCATGACCCCCCCCCAAAAAAAACTTATTATTATCTTTAAATAGATATATAAAGAGGTTTCAGCATATTATTTAATGAGTACAGTATATCTCTTGATCATTTTTTAATGTGACACATTTTATTTTTGTGGTTGTCTTGGGGATCTCTGTGATCTGCATTTATTGGTTGAGTCCTCGTGGGGTCATCTGACATGTCTTTGTTTCTTGTGAAAGGTGAGCACCTGACACTTGATTGGGTTCATTCTCTGTGACAAGGATGCTTCTTGGGTGGTGGTCCACTCCTTCATAGGGAGGACCCAGACGCCTGCTTCCCAACCCTTCCCACATCTCTGCCTACCTCCTGGTTGCCTGCTCCCTTTCCCATTCATTTACTCTGTTATTCTTCCCTCATTCTTCATGGTGGTCAGTCCAGGAGCCTCTGCCTGTTTCTAGATAGTTCTTTCCAGAGTTAGTGGTGGTGGAGGCAGTGGTGAGCCAGTATGTCTCAGGTTGAGTTATTTTGGGCATTACTGGAAAGTTCCAAACCAAAGCCTGTGGCTTTGTCCCACCACACTGAGACTTAAAGAATACGTTTGTTGAAACTCTGATTCTGGCTTAGAGCCATATTGCACACTGCCTGGCAGGCAGAGACATTTGTCAGAGAGTGAAGAACTGGGCCTGTTCTAGTCATGCAGGCCAGTCACTGGCATGTTGGGTACCAGGCTGGGTCGCTGTCACTTGCTGTTCTTGAGGCTCCTGCATGTGGGACCCACTTTTCCCTGCCTAGAGCAGAGCATCGCTGGTCATCAGCTGGAACCCAAAATTTTCCAATGCTGCCCAGGACAGATCCACAGCCCTGAGAAGTAGAGGCACCATGAGTATTTTTTTTTCCCTCCTTCGAAAAGTGTTTTATACTTTGAGTTCCATATATCACAATAAAAATGGACAACTGGTCTAAAATCTGTAATTTTAGCAGTTGGAGGTGGCACACTAAACAGAACATAGGATTCTGGGATTCTAGTCATTTGTCAGCGTGCATAACACCAGCCAACGGCTTTGGCTTGTTCTGCAAATTA